CTCTAAATAATGAGAATAAGAACTGAACTTATTTGCTTAAGTTGTTTCAAAAAACAGCGATAATTTTCTATAGCAAAAATATTGGCCAACACTCCTGAAGATTTGGAGTTTGTTAAATACGTAGTTTTAATCGTGAGTTAAAAAAAATTAAAAATTTACGGTAAGTGTAAAATGCAATTAAGAATAAATTGGAGGTGTAATACATTTATTAGCAATTTAAATATTAGTATCTTATAAGAGACACACTAGTTAAATGCATTTTTAACAATTCATTAGTGATGCAGATTTTCTTGTGTATGAATTACTAATGTTAAACTTTATTTTAGGTTCTTTTTATGAAAATCGACCCTAAAAAAATCTATACGTTCGGCCCGTCAGGCACAACACACGCTATTGCCTTTGCCTATTTATTGACATTCTGTTTCTATCTTAAAATTCCTAGTGCAGTGTGTAATAGAATTTGATTTGCTTGTTATCTGTTTTTTTAAGATAAGAATTTTTATGTCGGCTTCTTACATGAGATTACTTTAAACCATTTTAACTTTTCCTTAAAAATAATAAAAATACATCAACCGACACAGACATATTGTATTATGTATTTCTTTCAAGAGTCTTACACTCCAACAGTAAAAATATTCCGCAATTAATCTTTAGTTATGTAGTAGTAAAAATGAGAAAAAGGAAAGGAAGAAATTCTTGAGTATAGAGCTTAAAAAAAATTATAGAGGTGTTAAATTACATTATAAAGCTTTATTTAATATTTGCTAATTTTTATTGCACACGAGTTACAAAATTTATCACGTTGACATCTACATAAATACTTTTAAATGATTATTTAACAACGGAATTATTTTGTAACAAAAAAAAAACATTTTTATGTTTACGTAACAAGATAAACTACCACTTAATTAAACTTACAAACAAACCAGGTAATTGCAAATAAATTAGCTGTTACTGTATATACATATTACGTATATGAATTTGTACAAAATGTGGTACTTGAAAGTAACAATAATTACACAGAAACGCTATTAATGTTTACCTGACTAGAGAACTTTGTACAAACGTTTATTTCGTGGCAGTGCTAAATAACAGCCAAATTGTTTGTTCAAAATATTTTTTTATTATAGAGATTTATTACTATCTATTAGTTCTCAAAACCAGCTCATTTTTTTTTGTGTCTACGTACCTACATATTTTATCGTAATTAGTTGCTAAACTGTGCGTAAGAAATGTTCCTGAATATTGTGTAATTCAATAAATAATACAGCAAAAGTATAATTTAAAAACAAAAGAAAAATAATTAAGGAATGCTTTATAAAAAAAAAATACTTTTGTGGTCGTATTTTTCTGACCCTTAAAAGTACTACTAATTATTTATTATTATCTACTTGTATTGCAGCGTTTGTTTTATTATTAATTTTTGAGCTAATTTTAATTTTAAATGACGTTGCAAATTCCGATATTCGATCCATCATAATGAGAAAAATCGGTGACTGCTAAGATATTGTTTATTCCAAAGGCTTTTATACATCCTTTAAAGTAAGCGTGAAACATATTGTGCGTTTTCTGCCAGATAGTTTCGTTTTTCTCAGTAGGTAGACCCCCCAAGTAGAGGACACCGTCCGATAGATCGAACAAATCAGCAACGAAGTTGCTTTGATTTTGCGAAAGAACTATCTTCCCATCAATTTTAACTAGAAGATTCGTTTTGCCGAAACTTATTTCCAGCGTGTGCCAAATACCGTCAGCTAATGATTCAGTTTCCGGTATTTCGATAATGGTTCTGTTGCCATTTTTGATAGTGTATGCCAACTTTAAATGCCCACCTTCGATGCCAATTCCAACGAAATTTTCGTGCTATATAATAACATACAAACTAAGGATTAGAAATTCTTTCAGTTTTGTGAAAGGAAATAGAAATTACGGCATGACAATTATTAAATTTAACGACTTATTAACAAATTGAACTCTTTTTTTTTACTTGTATAAGTGGTTTCAAATGTGTATGCATACCTTGCTGCCCCAAAATATGAGTCCATTTTTATCTGCAGTTGTAAAATTTATATACAAACTTTTCACCCCAATTTTCCCCAGATCTCTTTTCTTATCGATTTTCTTCAATATAATATAACTGTTTCCCATGAATTCGGGAGTCGTGACTTTTGTAGCAGTCTCACAAAAGGCCCCAGAAAATCCCATGACACAGTTGCAACCATAATTCACGCATTTGCCACCGTTCCTGCAACCCTTCTCCTGGCAAGAGACAGGATTCTCACACCTTGAACCCCCGTAAAATTTTGTACACGAACAGTGAGGCTTTAACTGAGAATCCAACCAACAAATCCCGTTATTTTTACAATAATCTCCACCACATGGAGTTCCATCACAGTCGTCAACGTTTTGCGAAATTTTTACGGTTGAAAAGTTGAAATCTATAGGTTTCGTGTCTATTTTTAAACGGCGCAAACACCCTGTATACGGTATCGGTAATGTTGCTACAGCTACTGTGGGTAATTCGGACATATCTGCTAAACCACCTGAGACAAATTAATTTTTTTATTAGAATTATATTTTATCAATTGGTAATTAAACAAAAAAAAAGCCCAAATTTCAATATGAATGTGACCTGAAAGATCGTTTTTCAAAATTCAGAGCTGTTACGTATTTTTAGTTAGTTAAGTTTCGTAATCAAATGCCAAAAACAGAAGCTTTAATATTATGTCGTTGATCAGTTTGTCCATATTTATTATATGTTCGTATAAAATGATTTAAACTTCAAAGGGGAATTTTATTTTAAGCGTAGCAAACACTTCATTAATTTTTTAAACTTATTTTTATAGGATAGTATGGATGAAAACGTTTCGTGTATTCCTGCATGTGGTTAGCTTATAAAAAACATACGACATGGTGAATTTACTACATTACATTTTAAAGCATTGTTTTGAAATTATTGAGATTCAGTGTTGTCTTGCAATTAACAAACAAAACTAGTTAAAATGTGAAAAAGAAAATCTTAAAGACTGGTGTGAAACTACTGTTTTTCTTACCCAGAAATATCAAATCTCCTGATAGCTTCAAATGGTCGTTTCGTTCTAAAAGAACTGTGTTAGTAATGTTTTCAACGGCCACATATAATTTCCTCCCAAACTGCCCAACCCGTACGTTATACCAATTTCCTTTTGCAAGAAGTTTTCTGCTTCTCAAAATCAATACTTCCTTTGTCGTTTGAATACGATTAGCTTTAAAACATTTTGTTAAAATAAACTTACTTGAGAAGATGGCATAACGAAAAAGAATAGTACATAAACGATTAGATGACCTAAGAATGCAAAATACCTGGTAGTGTTCTTAGTTCCAGAAAACCGCTCTGAATTGATAATGAGAAGAAGCTTTTTCCATTACTTCCAATGTAGAGAACAAGGCCCATTTCGCTTAGAGGTCTAAGTTCGAATTGAATATCGAATTTTGTAGGAATTAGATCGACGGCTATCAAGCTTAAGAAGGATCGTTTTCCAGAAAACGTAATGTCAGTCAATTCGTTGTCTAAAATGTAACACATTTATAAATTATGTAATTAAATCCATAATAAATATGTTGCACATAGGGTTTTAAATCTGGTCAAAGGTCTATAGGAAAACAGTTAATGATTTAGTCGCTAGGACTAAAATCAATAGAAAATATTTTTAGTCTGATTTACTAATGCATTAATCGGTAGATGCAGAAGATAACAAAAGGATTTAGTAAATTGTGATGGATTGATTATTACTTACTGTTTTGACAGAATTTTCCGGTTTTTCCGAACGGACAATTGCATTCGTATGTGTCCTCATATGGAACACAAACAGAGCCACTAGAACAATTATGACGAGTTTCATCACAAGGATTGTACTGTAAAGAGCACAAAGGTCCAAACCATCCGTCTTGGCATAAACAACTACAACATAAGAGTAGAAGACTGTGTGGTAATCAAATAAATTAAACAAGAGTAACTCAACCCTGTTTACCATGCACAACATAGCAAATTGGGGTGAGTTTCTCTTTTTTCATTTCATAAGATATCGTATAATAATAACAATATGTGTTCTTTTCACCTGAATGTACTAGCATGATGCAAACAAATCCCACCGTTTTGGCATGAATTTTCATGACATTCGGAGATTCCACATTGCCCGATCGCACGACCGAGAGCGTGTCTTGAACTTTGTAAAGGAATAACAACACTTCCGGCTTTAAGTTCGACGTCAAAAATACATCCTTCAAATCCAGTATGCAATGGCAAATCATGTGGAAGCGTCGAAAAGTATAATGAATCATATCCACCCAAATATAACATGGGAACAACGTCCAATTGAACAAATTTTCCTTTAGATCTTCCAGTAACGTTCCCCAACCCTTCCACCGCTAGCCAAGCTCTTCTTTCACTTCTTCCCAATTTTACCAGATATTCTTCCTTATCCTTTTCTATTGGTCGGGACGTAAATATTCGTCTTGGTCCTTAAACACAGTTCCATATGTCACACCTGTAGTACCATGAGAATTCTATAGTCACCTGCCCCTAAATTCCATGTTAACATTATAAATCCCTTGACAAAACTCACTGCCATGTGGTCAGATGTACCGTCGTGCATTCCAGACTTGCCTATGAACATAAGTATCGAAATTTGATCCATTGTAGCAGGAGAAAATTTGAATTTTAATTCCATATTGTCCAATATGGCACCAGGTGGGATGGGATAGGCCGAGTATGAGGAATAACCGTCAATAGTTGGAGAAAAATATGTCTCTGATATCTGTATATCTATATTACGTATATGAATTTGTACAAAATGTGGTACTTGAAAGTAACAATAATTACACAGAAACGCTATTAATGTTTACCTGACTAGAGAACTTTGTACAAACGTTTATTTCGTGGCAGTGCTAAATAACAGCCAAATTGTTTGTTCAAAATATTTTTTTATTATAGAGATTTATTACTATCTATTAGTTCTCAAAACCAGCTCATTTTTTTTTGTGTCTACGTACCTACATATTTTATCGTAATTAGTTGCTAAACTGTGCGTAAGAAATGTTCCTGAATATTGTGTAATTCAATAAATAATACAGCAAAAGTATAATTTAAAAACAAAAGAAAAATAATTAAGGAATGCTTTATAAAAAAAAAATACTTTTGTGGTCGTATTTTTCTGACCCTTAAAAGTACTACTAATTATTTATTATTATCTACTTGTATTGCAGCGTTTGTTTTATTATTAATTTTTGAGCTAATTTTAATTTTAAATGACGTTGCAAATTCCGATATTCGATCCATCATAATGAGAAAAATCGGTGACTGCTAAGATATTGTTTATTCCAAAGGCTTTTATACATCCTTTAAAGTAAGCGTGAAACATATTGTGCGTTTTCTGCCAGATAGTTTCGTTTTTCTCAGTAGGTAGACCCCCCAAGTAGAGGACACCGTCCGATAGATCGAACAAATCAGCAACGAAGTTGCTTTGATTTTGCGAAAGAACTATCTTCCCATCAATTTTAACTAGAAGATTCGTTTTGCCGAAACTTATTTCCAGCGTGTGCCAAATACCGTCAGCTAATGATTCAGTTTCCGGTATTTCGATAATGGTTCTGTTGCCATTTTTGATAGTGTATGCCAACTTTAAATGCCCACCTTCGATGCCAATTCCAACGAAATTTTCGTGCTATATAATAACATACAAACTAAGGATTAGAAATTCTTTCAGTTTTGTGAAAGGAAATAGAAATTACGGCATGACAATTATTAAATTTAACGACTTATTAACAAATTGAACTCTTTTTTTTTACTTGTATAAGTGGTTTCAAATGTGTATGCATACCTTGCTGCCCCAAAATATGAGTCCATTTTTATCTGCAGTTGTAAAATTTATATACAAACTTTTCACCCCAATTTTCCCCAGATCTCTTTTCTTATCGATTTTCTTCAATATAATATAACTGTTTCCCATGAATTCGGGAGTCGTGACTTTTGTAGCAGTCTCACAAAAGGCCCCAGAAAATCCCATGACACAGTTGCAACCATAATTCACGCATTTGCCACCGTTCCTGCAACCCTTCTCCTGGCAAGAGACAGGATTCTCACACCTTGAACCCCCGTAAAATTTTGTACACGAACAGTGAGGCTTTAACTGAGAATCCAACCAACAAATCCCGTTATTTTTACAATAATCTCCACCACATGGAGTTCCATCACAGTCGTCAACGTTTTGCGAAATTTTTACGGTTGAAAAGTTGAAATCTATAGGTTTCGTGTCTATTTTTAAACGGCGCAAACACCCTGTATACGGTATCGGTAATGTTGCTACAGCTACTGTGGGTAATTCGGACATATCTGCTAAACCACCTGAGACAAATTAATTTTTTTATTAGAATTATATTTTATCAATTGGTAATTAAACAAAAAAAAAGCCCAAATTTCAATATGAATGTGACCTGAAAGATCGTTTTTCAAAATTCAGAGCTGTTACGTATTTTTAGTTAGTTAAGTTTCGTAATCAAATGCCAAAAACAGAAGCTTTAATATTATGTCGTTGATCAGTTTGTCCATATTTATTATATGTTCGTATAAAATGATTTAAACTTCAAAGGGGAATTTTATTTTAAGCGTAGCAAACACTTCATTAATTTTTTAAACTTATTTTTATAGGATAGTATGGATGAAAACGTTTCGTGTATTCCTGCATGTGGTTAGCTTATAAAAAACATACGACATGGTGAATTTACTACATTACATTTTAAAGCATTGTTTTGAAATTATTGAGATTCAGTGTTGTCTTGCAATTAACAAACAAAACTAGTTAAAATGTGAAAAAGAAAATCTTAAAGACTGGTGTGAAACTACTGTTTTTCTTACCCAGAAATATCAAATCTCCTGATAGCTTCAAATGGTCGTTTCGTTCTAAAAGAACTGTGTTAGTAATGTTTTCAACGGCCACATATAATTTCCTCCCAAACTGCCCAACCCGTACGTTATACCAATTTCCTTTTGCAAGAAGTTTTCTGCTTCTCAAAATCAATACTTCCTTTGTCGTTTGAATACGATTAGCTTTAAAACATTTTGTTAAAATAAACTTACTTGAGAAGATGGCATAACGAAAAAGAATAGTACATAAACGATTAGATGACCTAAGAATGCAAAATACCTGGTAGTGTTCTTAGTTCCAGAAAACCGCTCTGAATTGATAATGAGAAGAAGCTTTTTCCATTACTTCCAATGTAGAGAACAAGGCCCATTTCGCTTAGAGGTCTAAGTTCGAATTGAATATCGAATTTTGTAGGAATTAGATCGACGGCTATCAAGCTTAAGAAGGATCGTTTTCCAGAAAACGTAATGTCAGTCAATTCGTTGTCTAAAATGTAACACATTTATAAATTATGTAATTAAATCCATAATAAATATGTTGCACATAGGGTTTTAAATCTGGTCAAAGGTCTATAGGAAAACAGTTAATGATTTAGTCGCTAGGACTAAAATCAATAGAAAATATTTTTAGTCTGATTTACTAATGCATTAATCGGTAGATGCAGAAGATAACAAAAGGATTTAGTAAATTGTGATGGATTGATTATTACTTACTGTTTTGACAGAATTTTCCGGTTTTTCCGAACGGACAATTGCATTCGTATGTGTCCTCATATGGAACACAAACAGAGCCACTAGAACAATTATGACGAGTTTCATCACAAGGATTGTACTGTAAAGAGCACAAAGGTCCAAACCATCCGTCTTGGCATAAACAACTACAACATAAGAGTAGAAGACTGTGTGGTAATCAAATAAATTAAACAAGAGTAACTCAACCCTGTTTACCATGCACAACATAGCAAATTGGGGTGAGTTTCTCTTTTTTCATTTCATAAGATATCGTATAATAATAACAATATGTGTTCTTTTCACCTGAATGTACTAGCATGATGCAAACAAATCCCACCGTTTTGGCATGAATTTTCATGACATTCGGAGATTCCACATTGCCCGATCGCACGACCGAGAGCGTGTCTTGAACTTTGTAAAGGAATAACAACACTTCCGGCTTTAAGTTCGACGTCAAAAATACATCCTTCAAATCCAGTATGCAATGGCAAATCATGTGGAAGCGTCGAAAAGTATAATGAATCATATCCACCCAAATATAACATGGGAACAACGTCCAATTGAACAAATTTTCCTTTAGATCTTCCAGTAACGTTCCCCAACCCTTCCACCGCTAGCCAAGCTCTTCTTTCACTTCTTCCCAATTTTACCAGATATTCTTCCTTATCCTTTTCTATTGGTCGGGACGTAAATATTCGTCTTGGTCCTTAAACACAGTTCCATATGTCACACCTGTAGTACCATGAGAATTCTATAGTCACCTGCCCCTAAATTCCATGTTAACATTATAAATCCCTTGACAAAACTCACTGCCATGTGGTCAGATGTACCGTCGTGCATTCCAGACTTGCCTATGAACATAAGTATCGAAATTTGATCCATTGTAGCAGGAGAAAATTTGAATTTTAATTCCATATTGTCCAATATGGCACCAGGTGGGATGGGATAGGCCGAGTATGAGGAATAACCGTCAATAGTTGGAGAAAAATATGTCTCTGATATCTGTATATCTAAGAAAATTTTAAATTTATTTACTCGCAAAATGAAAGTCCGATTTTTTTTATTTCAGAAATGAGATTGAATTATTAGATATTGGAAACAATGATTGATTACTATTTTTTCCATCTATAAAGAATGATAAAATTTAAGTCCCATCTTCTTGCTCCGTATTGTTGATGGACCTACATATTCTGGAGTAGTTAAACGCGTTAAATTATTTATTATTTCATTGCGTACCATTTTCACAAAAATGACCATGTTTTCCGAAAGGACACAAACAAATGTAACCACTTCCGGTAAAGGCCAGGCATGTGGCTCCAAAGAGGCACGGATTATTATCACAAATCGACTTCTCGCAAGTGCTACCCAAAAATCTGTTAAAGACAACCAGCTAAATGATTATTGTTATAAATATGTGGCTTACTCATTATATCTACCCATTTTTACACAAACAATTCCAACCCTTCTGATTAGAATTACAAGTACCCCCATTTTTGCACGGATTTGATAAGCAAACCAACGAGGAACATTCGGTAATTTCTTTTCCTTCTTCGGCATCCCCGTATATACTCATTCTATGGCCAGATATCTGTAATTTAAAACGAATTAACAACCCCAAGTTTTACCTTGTTTAACTTTTCTCACTCTCAAGCTACCCATACACCCAACAAAACCCGCTGAAGGTAACTCCACAGAGTGTTCTTCTGGTGTTCCCCCCAAATACAACCAAGCCGACGGCTTGTGCAGTTTTGCCACCATGGCAATTTGGTCCCCGCTCATACTTAAAGTATTGTTTATTTTAACAAGAGAAAAACATCGTTTAAAATCCTTGTCGAACTCCAACCTAAAATACCCTCGCAAGTTACTTAAATGCAAATGATTTTATTTTAATGGTATATACACGTACTTTGAGTAAATTATGGTATCGAAACCGTTGTTGATCGGATTTTTTAATTCGCTGAGCAACATGGTCTGATATCCGCAGGAAAATTTAAACTTTAAAAATCCTTTTTCAATGTATAAACACATATATGTTCCATCTATGGTAGAATAAAGTAATAAACCATTTTCAGAAACCGTTTTGGCTTTGAATTGTACTTCAACCCCGCTTATATTTGTTAGTCGATGGACCAAATAGGAATTTCCACCAAAAGCAGCGTTTAAGATGCCTTTACGAAGTTCGCAAAGCGGTCCTTCAGTATTAAAAGGGCAGATACACTAAAACAGACACGATAAAGTATTACGACCTTTCGTAATTAAATGAAATTCAAAATAAAGCAGTTGTAGTTTACAGTTTGCTTATGATAAATGCAAAATGAGATTTTTAAAGCAAGGCAAAAAGTTGCGGCATTCCCTCCCGGGGATGAATTGCCATCCGACTCGAAGATGTAGGTGATAAACCCCAGGGAGTTCTTCCCGATGGTCGTGTACGATTTTGAGCCATATCCGTGCCCTGTGTGTACTGGTTTTCCTGACTTCTGGGACGAGAAAGGAGAACACAACCTTCTAAGTAAGAAATCGCGTTTAGAGCCGAAAGCGAGGGTAGAAAACACGCAAGGAGTAGCAAAAAATGCAATTTCTTATCCGGGAGGGAAAATGCAAAGATGTCTTCTTATTCGCTGGTACTTACGTCAACATACCTTATGTCCCTGAGCCCCGAAAATGCAAGTGCCGCCATTTTGGCAACGATTTTCGTCACGACTGCAGTCCGGATACATAGTGCTTACAGTAAAATTTTCTGAAACTACAGTGGTTGTTTCTGTTGTACTGGAAATAGTGGTTGTTGATGTTTCAGTTGTGACTACAGGGGTTTCGGTAAAAAATAGAGTGGTTTCTGGACTAGTATTAGGGCCTGTAACGGGTACCACGGTCACCGTGTATTCTGTTATCAAAGGAGAAGTAGAAGGTTCACTGGTAGTTGTTAATGTTCTATTAGACCAAGTAGGGGCCGTTTGAACGATTGAAGAAGTTGTTGTTGTTGCAGTTGTTAAAGTTGTAATTGGTATCAACGTGGTAGATGACATTGTACTAAAATACTCTGTAATTACAGTTGTTGATGGATTCCATGATGTTGTCTGCATAGTAGAAGTATTTTCACTAACTGGCACCTCTGTTGAAGAAGTTGAAGGAGAGGATTTGTACTCTGTTGTTCTTTCTGTAGTTGGAGGGATTGTGGTTGATGTTGTTACAGTTGAGATAGGTTCATGTTCAGTTTCTTCAAAAGTTGTATACGTGTCAGTGGTGAATATTTCTGTGGTAGTTTCTGTGAATGATTCGTTAAAGAAGCTTGCTGTAGATTTGCTGGTGATAATTTCTAAGGTGGTACTTTCCGAAGAATGACTCCACGTTTCAACAGGAGATGTTGGTAAAAAAGTTGTTAGAGTAGATAGAGCCGTCGATGTAACATTTGTTTCTAAAAATGTTGTAGAAGTACTTGAGGTTTCAAAAAATGTAATTGTATCATTTGGCACATTAGTAGAAGACATAGTTGACAGGGCAATTGTTCTTTGTGTCAGTGGAGGTTCTGTAGTGGTTGAAATAAATGAGGTGGTGCTAGTGAGATTTGTAAGAGTGGAAACAGAAGTGGTGATGGTACTGACATAAGAACAGTCTATTTCGGTATCTGATACTACAAGACATTCGCAGAGCAATCCTGTTAATTTCGGTGGACAGGAGCAAGAAAAACTGTCTACTCCGTCTATACAAGTTCCCCCATTCATACACCTACAAGTTTAAAATTATAAATAGTTTACAAGGTATTGGTTTGCAAATTCTACCTTGGTCCTAACTGACATTCGTCGTATTGAAGTTCGCATTTTTCTCCGTGATAATCCGGAACGCAGTAACACACTGGGTGATTATCTTCCATCAGGCACAAGGCCCCATTTCTACAAGGACTGTGTTCACAGAAAATTACTTTTTCTTCGCAATTTTTTCCTGTAAACCCTTCAAAAAACAGCGTCGTGCCATTAATTTGGTTAGTGAAATAAGTTTATATGTATTTATAAAATTTTGACTTCGATCATCTTCTATTTTTTTTATTTCTCGAAAATAAGTTACTCGACTCATCCTTTTTAAAACAGAAACACTTATTTTTTTATTAATTTGTTTAAGAATATGTATTCTAAGTCAAGTTTGAGTATAAATCTGAGTAACACAAAATTTGAAATTTGTAGATTCTTACCAAATCGACATGCGCACAAGTAATCGGCATGCAAATCGATACAAAGGGCACCATTTTGGCAAGGATCTGACATACATTCGTTAAGTTCCACGTCACATAAAAATCCTCCCCAACCTGTAAGAAATAGCGTGATAATTAAGACTCTGAAGTTATGATTTGAATCGGGTTCGTCGCTTGACCCAACGTTGGAGTCTCCAAATCACAGCTAGAATAAGCGATTTAAAAGCGATGTTTAACAGTCATTAATTACATAAATGGAATTGAAATATAATTAAATAATAGGAGCGTAAATTTAGCGTTAATAGTTGTGATAATAAGTATTAATAACACTAGTAATTGCAGAATAACATTTTACTTTAAAGTGATTCTTGTGTAGTACAAATTTAAAACTACTTGAAGTTAGAAATTTTTTTAAAAATTCGTACTTATAAATATTTGTCTGAAATGAAAAAGATAAAATCAATGCTGTGTGTAATCCATAATGGTGGGAATATTTTAATAGGTAATTAGAAAATTTATTGCGTCTGTTTTTAAACAATAACGATTATTTTTAGTATCGTGTAATTGGCAGCAAAATAATTAAACATTAGATTATTGAAGTAAATCAACCCTCTTCATTTTCCCTATCCTTATTAGCTATAGATTCAAACCTAAAGTAATTTATAGAAACCTTTTGAGCATTTGCAAGTGAAGGTCATCCCTGGGCCTTCAACGCATTCTCCCCCGTTTGCGCATCTTGTTTCAGCGGTTGTGTTGCATACCGCAACATCTATCTCACAGTGGACACCTAAGTATCCAGGTTGACAACTACATATATAACCATTCATTGCATCTATGCACGTGCCGTTGTTTTGGCAAGGGTTACTTTCACACTCGTCAAAGTTTTCTTCACATAAATCACCTGCCCAAAAGAAAAATATTGACACTGAGAAACAGATTTAAATGACACAACGTAGCGCAGCCCAATGTTGTGTTGAGTGTTATTGTGTGCGTTGCGTGTGTGTGTGTGTTTTGTGTCGACTGTCCAGCCGGGTTGCATTGCGTTGTGTTACGTTGCGTTGCGTTACGTTACGCTGCGTTGCGTTGCGTTACGTTGCATTGTATTATATCATGTTGTGTTGAAACATATTTATAAATTGTGCATTCCATCGTACCTACAAATCCCGGAGGACAGGTACAGTTGAAAGACGCTATACCGTCGATACAGATTCCCCCATTTTGACATGGATTTGACCAACATTCGTCCCAATTCGTCTGACATTGTACCCCAGTATATCCATCGATGCAGTAGCAGGAATATTGAGAATTATTTTGCTCAACGCAAACCCCGTGTACACAGGGATTACTCAGACAGACAAAGCTTGATTTCACGTGAACCAGGCTGATAGATAAGAGAGCATAATACCAAAACCAACGATTTATCGAATGTGACATTATTGAAGATTCCATTTACAGCAAGGTTTTAGATTGATTCCAGTCATAATGATGTAATATGGGACAATTAAATTATTCTAAAATAAAAAATTGGAGATAACACTGAACTGATTTTTCCTATGCATGTCAAATATGTGTTTTTGTATTGTTATACATCAATTATGACTAAATTTCTGTTCTTGTTGTTATTGAAACATGTCCGTTTCACGTAATAATTGTATGAAATGAATCATTTGCAATTAGTAAAAAAAAAAATAATATTATGCCAGATACACAAACGAATATAATGAATGCACTTATACATATAAGATGCAAATTAACACAAAAATGAATCATTATACGACTTATACGTATGTACTTTCAACAAGTTGATTCATATTCACTTTTTGTGCTTTACTTTCAGTTTAATCATTTGTTTCAGTTTTTAAAGGAAATATAAATTTTTAGGTCAAATAATTTTTCAGTATTTCTAGATTTATATCCCCGTTGTATATTTCTACTGTGTACATCTACTCTACATTTGTGTTTATTTTCTGGAATATAGGTAGCTAGTGCAACATTACAGATTCTACAGTCTTTTTTACGTACCTGATTTATCACTTTATAATGTAAAATTGTGGATGCTGTAAAAAGTTACCGTATTTAATAATTATTTTTTAGGGTCCTCACAACAGCAAAATGCTCAGGAAAAACTTTTTAAACTGCTCAACATCGTCTTTTGCCGCCCTAAAAATTTACTTCCCTTCATGTTATAAAATAACCCTGCAGCCGTTTCCCAATAGTTTGTATTAGATCGTTTACCTTTACACCCATTTTCAACCACTTGCGTGACCGAAACGGAGCACGTGTCAACAATAAATTAATTATAAATATTGATTCTGCTTTACTATGTACACTAAACGAACTATAAAACCTTAATTATTATGCAAAACGTGTATTTTCCCATTAACTTAAGGGCATTTTAGGACAATTAGAATAGTGAAGTAACATTAATTGGACAAAAAAGTGGTAAAGGTTTAGTTTTTATTAAATAATTCAGTGAAACAAAGGGGCTGATGGTTGTTAAGGTGTTGCTACGGCAACATGTATACAATACAACAGTGGAACGAAGAGGTACAAAAGTTCTTGACCGTCCGGTGCTTTCCGTAGACCAGGTTCGAAAGTCGGGCAGTGTACTCGACGAGAATGGTAGGTCTATCTATGTATTATTACTGTAGAACTTAACTGTAATATTAACCTACTTGGCGAAGTGTAACAAAGAAAATTAACCGCTGAGGTGAGTTGATATATTCGTCGTTTGTTGAAAAACGAAAGGTTAAATAAATGGATGTGGAATCGGAAATTGTTCTCGCCAGTGTGCCAGCAGATGTGAATCAGTCGGTTTGAAGTTCGCATGTTCCTGCTACAAGTGTGTCTGTCTACCTGTGTGAAAGTTTATTGCAGCAGGTACGGTACATGCTCGAAATTGGGAGAGTTTTAGGTCGTTCATTATTCATCACGCGTGTTGATCGAAACATACACGATTCCCATGCACAAAAAGGTGAGAGCACTTTTTAACAAATTTTCACAGTAAAAATGAATAATAAAATACCAATTGTTCTGTATCAGATGTGCAATTTGTACTAACATTAAAGACAATTTGAGCCTGAAAGGTTAAAAAATCTTTATTGTAGCACTTCAACAAACCTAATTTTAACAACTTAATTGATTTTCAGACACTTTTTAACAAATTTTCACACTGAAAATTACGTGTAATAATAAAATACTAATTGTTCAATATTGTATGTGCACTCTGCACTAGCATTAAAAAAAATTGTCGCGGATCAACAAAAATAATTTTCTTTCTGCCTTAACTTATTTTTTTAATTAATTTTAAGAAGTAAGAGAAGTAGCTGTTAATTTTAAATTACTTTTTCCTCCGTGTACTCTTTTAATTACGAAAATTAAAAGTTTTAGTAAAGTTGCAGTTAATGCCATGCATGAAATTATTAGTTAATTTAAAGAAGTTCCCAATCGAAGCATTCGATTTTTGATAACAAATGCTAATAATATTTTTTAATGTAGGTACTTATAGTTATGTTATTGTGTAATTCATCATTATCAAAAATATCATTGATTTTGTATAGTCCGGATCTGCATTTCATTGTATATTAAATTCATTTTTCCTTAACAAAATTGCTTGTCAAAAACATTGTATGGCTTTTAAAGCACTAATAAATGCATGGTTACTGTTTATTTTTAAACTGTCTATTACCTTGGAAAATTGTGCATAGCGGATATGAATTATATTAATGTAATTATCATCAATTGCTTTTATTACTAAAAAACAACAAAAATTCTCTTTTCGCTCGATATGTGAATATTTAGGCATATTTTAGTCAATTTCTTTTTTAAAATTTCCAATATTATGAATACATTTTTTTAATCCTTAGGTAAAGGTAGACATGGATCCTGGTATCGTGTGCTTTCAGCATTGTGGTCCTAAAGTTTTTTGCTTTTCCTTGCCAGAACACTGCCCAGTTTGCTCTGCGGATCTTGCAGATGCCCGCTTTTCTCTTTTACCTTTTAGGTAAGTATGTAGAATAACATGAATAATGAATACATTTCCAATACATATAGGTACATCGTAGATATCATAAATCACAAGAAGAATCATTTGTATATTTATTAAGACAAATGATTTCTTTGTGACTACTGTAGGTATTTCTGATTAAGCGATTGTAGAGAAACATACGTAAATGTAAATATAAAAGAGGGAGTTATTAAAAGAAATTTTCACACTTAATTACTTGACAACAGGCACTATTTCCATTTGATATGAACATACTTGTACATCCCTCAGTAGACAAAAAGGATAATTTATGAACAGAGAAAATTTCATTAGCTGTAACACGTTAAAGTAAATTGAAAGCAACATAGACCCACGAAACTAAAAAAACACAAAAAAAAACGATTCGATCAAAGTAGATAGAAAATAGAATCTTTCCTTGTTTTTTTTTTCGTCATCTAATAACGGCTTCAAATAAATAAACTTGGATCCGATTATTTAAACCCATACATTTATTAAATTAGGTAAGTAAATTATTATAATTTAAATCTTCGGGAAAGTAATTAATCGCATTAATTACAAACCTAAAAAGTTTCTGAATAATTATTAACATTGTTGGATCGTTCACATCAACACAGGAATAAATTTAAACTCTCAAAACCAGTCGTCATAATTCAAATAAGTAATCAATAAATTACAAATTTGATTATGAGCATCAGTTTTTCTTTGTTATCTTTAATCACATTTAATTTACTTATCTCATTTTTTGAAGTTATTTTGATCATCAATTTATAATCGTGGTAACGCATATTACTCAATTTTTGGTGATTAATTTAAATTTTATACTGATTATTTATAATTAAATATTCATAAATGCAGTTAAAGAGTAATAGATACCGTTAAACAAAGTATGAAATATAAAAACGTAGTTAAAACCTTTTTATTGTGACGTCTAAAAGTCTACGAAATTTAATTGAGCATGAACCTAAGGATAATAATAATTAAAATTTAATTTAAAAATAAACATAGTTAATTACACTAAATAATTTTTAAAAAAGGATTCACCATATGTTCCATTTTTATTTTGATATTCATTTACACGTAAATCCATTAAAAACCGACTTTTTTGTCTTAAATAGGATTTAAATATAGTTTCATTTTATCAATTTTTCTTTAACTGCTTTTCACCATAAGGAAATTGACTTTATCGAAGTATAATATCGACTTGAGTTGTTAAATATCTCGTTTAATAATTTCATGTGTTGTGTAAGCCTTGTTTGAATTTTAGATACCTATATATTACATTTTGAATTTTAAGTTCTACTTAAATTGAACAATAGACATGCAAATTTGCATTAAAGAAAGTATTATTAGCGCGATTTTTTTTTCAAATGAATATTTATAAACTTTGCATTGTATTACAGAAATTCGATATTGTTTTACAGCTATGTATTTGTTTGTAATTGTTCCCATTCAAAATGGATAACCTTGTTCTGATTAATAAAACCGCGATATGAATATTCCATGCACTTTTAATAAATCAACCCATTAATTTTCTGTGTCAGATATTGCCACTGATAAATAAATAGATGATAATTGTTTCTTTTCTCAATTTAAAGCAAATACTGTATGATATATGTACTTCAACTCCATTAAAGTAATATCCTGGTACTTTATTTACCGTAATACTTTCACATTCTGATAAATAAATGAATAATTAGATATTTTGTTGCCGCTGATTTATACTTCGTGGCAAGAAAACTGCTTATTAGCAAGTCTATATTTTAGCAGGTTTGTGGCACACAAAGAAAGTATGTAGATTCAATTCAGCTTGTTTAACAAAAACGAAAAAATCCTACAGAAATCACTTAAACTTTTATGCGAAGAAATTGTATGTATCAGTTTGATTGTATAATTACATGAATACTCTTGTAGATAATAAAATTTTTAAAAGCTATAATAAATTGCAATCAATTTTTAGACATCTTAGCTGAATTTTTAGAATTTAATTTGAACTTTAAAGAAGGCTGTGCTATATTTATTTTGTGTAATAGGAAATACAGTTAGATTTAAGTCATTATCCTGTTTCTTAAAGCGGAACAAACTGTGGTATTATAGAAGCCAAGAAAACATGAAGTAGACGTTATTTTTTTACCGTTTTGGTTTAACTAATTGTAAGATCAACAACTTTGGGTAAATTTTGTACATGGTGTATTGAAGAGTCGAAGAAAAGATTCGTTCTTCTCTGAAATTCCTTTTACTGTCGCATTACCTATACACGGAATTGCATTTTAATAGTTACGTTATATATGATATTAATAGATTAAAAACTTAAATTCGAATTCACTTTATAATCAAGTATTTTGACGATATTTAATAATGATTAAACACATACGAATAAAATTACATACATGCATACATATTATATAACTACAAAATAAAAAATTGATTACAAATAAAAAGTGGCTAAGTAAGTATAAATAAAGTAATTAGATTTCCATTTGGATTTCAAGGTGAAATTGCATGAGTTAAAGTTGTTTCTTCACAGTAAATTCTCTAGTTTGTAATATCGTAAGAAATCAAAGCCTTCAATGTATAATTTAAGAATCTATTTACCGCAACGGTGTTCCTTCATTTTGCAATTGACTACATCCTTCCGTTTTACTTTTACAAAATTACATTGTGCTAAATAAGCTTACTTGCAGCTTTCCCATTCAATTCTGGAAACTACTGTGTAGGTATTTACGGTTTCACACTGTTTAAAATTGTTACCCACTTTTAAAGCAACATGTTAACAACATGCAATTAAAGCTTGTTGAATAAGAATAATTATATTTACTGGTAGTATGGTTATATTCAACCGGCATAGTGGTCGATAAGCTTTTTTTTAATGAGAATGTTATTTTGGTTCATGTTTTATGTATGTATATCTAGAACAGAAAAGAAAGAACAGAAAATCTTTTCTGGGTGAATATTCAACTGCAACAAACTAATTAAAATGTTTTTACATATTTTGTATTCTATAAGCTCCGTAATGACCTTAATACAAAAAATTTGTTAAATGTCTATTATGCACTTTTCAATAGCGTGGGGAAGTGCTTACAAAAATGTAGTGGGTAAATAACCTCAGGAAAAAATTTTAAATGCCATTTTTGATTGTGAAGTTAAAGAAATAAAAGTCTAATTTTGCCAGCATCTAAACTTAACAGTGGGTTAAAAAGCACAGGTTACCTATCGGAATCAAGAATTCCTGAAACAAAAATTACAATAACATAATAATTCATTTTTAGATAAAAAAGAATATGTAACACTGAATTTGTAGTACGAGGATTGTACATATAATTTCTGTAATCTGTCTTTATTATATTTTAGACATTAGTATAGCATTATATATATTTTTTTGGTATCCTTCCAAATGACTAAATTACTGATACATATATGTTAATATACTGGAAATTAATTAATATTGTCCTAGCATACGGATACACTATGTACCTCCCGCAGAGTCACGATATTATTTAATTACGTTTAAGTTTATAATTTTATTATTAAGAATTTAGAAGTTTATTGATTTTACTATGTGAATTTTCTGATAATGAGAAGACAATAAATTTATTATTATCTTTTACTTGAAATTGAAGTAATAGCATAATTAATAAAGATACATCAGTTTGCATATATTTTTTAAACAATTGTATTGCTAAAATTATGTGCATTTCAGGTATTAATATGATGTGTATATAATATCGTTTCATTACTGACAACGTTCAGCTTTTTAATGAAGTAATCTCTTTTTTTCAGAGTTCCTTATCCTTTTGTCAGAGCGTCTCAATATTCATGTGCTGTTGTAATCAAGCCAACAACAGGGGACTTCTTAAAGTACGTACGAATTTTTAGAATCCAAAAAAGAAAAACGAACCCTTTACAAAATTATTCGCGTTTTTTCCGTTTAAAAGTTTAAATTATCTGTTTCCTATAAATATTAAGTAAAAATAAATTTACTAATTTAATTTTTGGTGAAAACCGCATCTAAATCTATTAAGAAATAACTAAGTTATTCCTTTTTAAAATTTCTGTACTCATAATCTTTACAAGTGGCGCCTACCATTGTTTTCATCCGCATTCCATTCAGTGCAGATGCACTGAACTTGACCTACATATTACGGGATTCCATAATGGCCGCTGGCGTAATAACCAATCAGATGCATCGAGCCGATGCATCAGATGCTAATGTGCATTCGTAAGTTAGTCACCCTCGTGTTGTAGGAGGGTGTAGTTCGTCGCATCAAATAATGGGGTTATTGTTACGTAAAAACATCAAATTACGTTCGTTAAAATTTCCCTGTTTTGTTAATAATAAAATATGTTACTTTTTCAGTACATTAATATACTTATTCTTTTATTTCTTTAGAATCATAAGCTAATTCAATATAATTATCTAGTATTTAGATCGAACTTCATTGAAAAAGGTTTTGCTACACATTGCATATTTGTATAAGAATTTCATAATGTCATTCCTATTTTTCATTTTAAATTAAAGTACCTACACATATGTACATTAATTTCAGTGATTATTACAATTCGATGGATCTCCACATAGGTGTAACGACTTCTTCGGGGACTATAGTTGAATTCGACAAAAATGGATTGCGACGACATCACAATGATCAGTGGAATCAATGTCTTTTACTGGATCAAGCAACTCCTCCATGGCGAGAACATTGGGATAATACACTAATGCAAATTTGTAAACAGAAACACTGGTCCTCTAGGAATTATAGTGAAGACCGACATAATTGCTATACTTTTGTATTAAATTTTTTGAAGATGCTAAATTATGGCAATCTTAGCAATGCTGCCTCAAACAAGACATCTTTTTGTGAGAAGTTTATTATACCAAGAACTACATCTGCGGGGAAGTACATATCTCTTTACAGGAAACTAAAAGATACCGGATGCTATGTGCATAAAGGTGGTAGTAATAAATGAAACTGATACTTTAAATTTGTGATTGTAAATATATTTTTATAATAAATAGTGGTTTTATATATTTTAAGCATGATCTTCCTCACTGTTAACCAAAAATCTGCTGTAAACTCATTCAGCTGCGGGTTTTTCTTCATATTCATTAGAAATATCTTTCAGATTTAGCAATAGCTTATTGCCTTTCGTTTTCAACACAAAAAATAAACGGTTCATTAATTTTCTAATGCAAAATTAAATTATGCGCTTTCAATAATTGTATGGGTTTCATTACAGAGGGGGCTATTTCATTCATAATTTAAATAAACCGCCTTATTAATGTTTACATTAGAAACTGAGGTTCGTTAAAAAAGTGCAATGTCGTACGGCAGTTGTAGTTTATAGTGAACAGTGTTTCATTTATTATTAATAATAAGAGCTCGTTTAGAAGATATTAATCAGTTTTAACGTTTTTTCTAGCCAAATGGGAAAGTAGGTATCCTTTTTCAAGAAAAATGTACAATTCTTCATACAATGCATAGGTTGTCTAAGAGGTTATGCTAAACCAAAATTACAAGAATTTTAAAAAATATTAATTGATCTCTTTTGTATAATGTATTACATATAGTATTTATAATAATTGTATTGTTTCGGAGTTATATCTTTTCTTAATTACTTATATAGTCACAAAGAATGGAGAAAACAAGCCAAAAAATTACGACGCAGGAGAATACGACAGCAAATAGCCATAGCACGATATGAAATTAATAAGAAAGGTACTGCAAAAAAAGTACTTAGTCTTAACAGAGCTATATTTATACTATAATAAAGAAATGGATTTTAGAACAATTGCGACGTGAGAATTCGCCATCATATATCAGATGGTTGGATGAGCAAAAACAAGCAGAAGAATTTCAAATCCAAGAAGAAGCCAGAATAGCAGCTGAAAATGAGGCAGCTTGGTTAAAACGCGAAGAAGTAGCCCAAAAACAATGGCAAGAATTACAAGAAAAATTAAAACTCGCATGGGAAGCAAGAGCTAAACAAAGAGCTCGTATTAAAGAGGAATGGGAAAGAGAACAGAAAAGATTGAAAGAATTAATAAAGCAGAGTGAACGTGAAGCTCAAGAAAGATTAAAGAAACAAGAAGAGCTGAAACAGAAAATTGAAAACTTCATAGTACATGGCGGTGAAGAACCAGAAGAGTTGAATATAAATTTAGAAACAAATCCAGGCAAGCAGGTGTGTCCTTTCTTTCAGAAAGTGGGAGCATGTCGTTTTGGGGACACCTGTTCTCGTAATCATATAAGGCCGGGGATCAGCAGGGTGCTACTTTTACCAAATTTCTACTCCCATTACTGTTTAGAGTCAACAGAAACTGAGTATGGGAATGATGCAGATTTGGAATTTGACAGACAAGAAATTTATCAGCACTACAAGGAATTTTTCTTTGATGTCTTACCAGAAATGGAAAAAAGTGGTAGAGTTCGACAATTTAAAGTTTGTTGTAATAAGGAGCCTCATTTAAGAGGGAATGTTTATATTGAGTACAAGACCACAAGAGAAGCAGTAACGACTTATAAGTTATTTAATGGACGTTGGTATGGCGGTAAAAGACTCAATGTAGAGTTTTGCAATGTAAAATCTTGGAAATCGGCAATTTGTGGTAAGGAGACATAACTTTAAAATAATTAATAAATTCGGTGATTATACAATAAAAGTCCACTGAAATTAAAAAAAAATAAATTTAATTTCAGAATCTCAGTGGTACCTTAATTCACTTTTTATCAAATATATCAGTAGTAATAAGAAAATACAACAAAATAAGCAAAAATGCTAAAGATAGCCAAATTTGAAACTGAAATAATTTTGTCTAACTTAACAAGTGAAGTAATCATAAATAAAATGAATAATTATATTATGTGCAACAATAAAAAAAAAACATAAAAATCTTATTAAAGCCACTTTTATGTAGAGCCATTTTCATACTCTTGTCGACACTAATTCTTTAAATTTTATATATGTTATGAAAATAAAAGCGAATAATTATTTTGATAAATAATTTTATTTTAGGTTTATATTTACAAAATAGGTGTCCAAAAGGAAGTGCATGTAATTTTTTACACGTTTTTCGAAATCCAGCCAATTTGTTTGCTGATGCTGATAAGGACCAGCATCATACCCCACCTGCTGAAGATATTGAAAGGTAATTCCAATTGTAATTTGTATTAGAGGACTTTTTATATGCATTATTTGTTACAATTTTCAGGCTAACGCCCGATACTAGGCATTGGAGATGGTCAGAATCTCCTGAACGAATTCCTACTGAAAATAGAAGTCATCACAGACATTTTAGGGAACAACATTCCCATTCTAAATCGAAAAGATCTCGAACTCGATCGAGAAATAAAAAGAGGAAAAGAAGTCACAGCAGAAATAAAAGTAAAGATAAGAGTAGTAGAAGTACAAGAAGTGAACATTCCAACGGCCATCGCCATGAACACAGACACAAAAGTAAAAAACAGGTCAACAACGAAAGCAGAACTCCATCTAATACATCTTCTAGACGATTTCGAAGATCACATTCTTAATTTAATAAAAAAGTTGTATGAATATTTACTAATTAATTAAAGTTTTTTCTTATTTGATTGTTTTTTTTATTCGCCCTTATGGAAGAAGCCGATTTTTGTAAACTCCTAAGAAACATACGTGCTACCCTTACAAAATAATTTTGTATAAATTAATAACGTTTGGGGGATCAAGCCCTTTTTTCTAAATATAAATTAACGAATATTAAGGAGGGAAATAAAAGAAAAATGCGGGAAATTCATTTGCCATATCTTATTTTAAAATAAGAAGTAATAAGGTGAGAAACTGAAAAAAGAGGTGTTACAGCTTTGTAATGATCTTTTTCAAATTAATACGTTTTTCCCGCTTCTGCGTTTAAAAAGAACTATTTTTATGCAACCCACCATGCACAGAGACATTTTTTTGCATAAGTTAGTGCGTTATACGGTTATACCAACAACATTGACGTTTGGACACGTATGATTGGTATTAATAATAATTGTATTTGTGTGTTTGTATCACATAGATAGAACAAATATAGTCCGCAAAGTATTAAAGTTGTAGTAACAGCAGGTTGCCGTTCTACTGAAAACCGTTTCTAATTACGATTTATAATTATAGATTCATACTACCAAAGATACGGACGAGCAACCTACATAAGTGCACTGTATTGTGACAAAAGCATACAAGTGAAACCGGTTTTCATCGGGTTAGCGGCAATTTGACGTAATTTAACATGGTATACTGGTACTGTGAAAATTAAACCTAATTTTAGCAAAATACTACTGCAAGCAAGTTAAAAATAATTTCTTAAGTATGCGTCAAATTGTAGTTTTTCGGCTGTGAATTTTTGGGATAGTTAACTGTCTCATACTTTGCAAAATTTACTGCATTGCGCTCGCTAAATCTGTCTGTACGTGTATTGCTTTGGGTGGTTTTAAGTTCTAACCTATACATACTTCAGCACTAACTAAATTAAAAAATAAAAAAAATAATTAAATTAAATGGTTGGAGGTGGTATGGGAGATAGAGATTGGAG